CTGAAAGTTTTGGGCCCGTGAGTAAAACGGGTCCTGCCTAAGACTGAGGCGTATTCGTTGTTGCAGCAAGAGAACCATCCATGAGTAGAAAAAAGCATTGCTTGGGGAGTCAGCTAGCAAGAAGTATGGCTATACGGGCGATACCCCTGGAATCGTGCTGATAACCCTTGGGATACGTAGCGACAGACCCTTAACGGGAGATGAGGTAGAATCTGACGAGCTCAAACGTGAAAACACAGGGCTTAATCTTTATGAGTAGCGATCTGCAGAGGTTTGGGGGGCGGGCTTCAGTGGTTCAGCTGTAGGTTTCTCGGCATCAACATGGTAGGGTTGATGGTTTAGGGTGCATGCTGGGATCTCCGGGGATAAGAGTTAGAGTTCGAAGTTAAACTGCTCAAATCACATGCATCTCTGGTTTGCCCTTGTTCATACCCTGCAACTAGGGGCCCAGAGCCTACCATGCTGGATTGGTACTGTTCGGAAGTTAAGTATTTCAAGCGGGGGCTTTGGCAGTCCTGAACCGTGAGTTCGCGCTGCAATGCCAATCCAAAATAAGTGCCAGAAAGTTGGAACATCATGACCCCGAAAACGTATTGATGAAAAGAACGAGGTCTGCAGCCAGATCCATAGCAATACTATACCCTTGGTGCCCTATAGTTGCTGTTCTAAAATGTACCCCAAAAGGCTTGTTATCTGTTGTATCAAGCGCATGGATGAACAATCCTTGATCAATGTGCCAACTTTCGAGACTTCACAGCAAGTGCCGTCGCGGGGTGAGGCTTCGAAAATTCGAGGTCTGAGAAGATACGTTTCGAGGTTTCGGCAAACGAGGGACCCCAGAGTCGACTCTACATAGTATCAAAGGGGAAAGGGAGGGACCCTTAAGGGGGACCCCTACCCTATAATGGGCTATATAATTTATATAATGGCTATATTGAGGGTATATACCTAGGGGTCCTTATTAAGGGTCCCTCCTTTTACCCTTGGATAGTAGGATCCTGAGCGATCCTGATTATCCGTACTGAGCCATAGCTCCTGCAACATACGCTCTGGAGGGCAGAGATGACTACCCGGGGGCTCCATAGTAGTTCCTTTTTGGTATTACCTTATAAGATTCTTATATATGAACCCCCAAAGGGAACTACTTTGGGGCCTTTGGGTACACGCTGCAGCAGTCTAAATCCTGAAGAGGCCCACTCTCGAAGCCTTAAACCCCAAAGCTATGCGAACGTGCAGGAGAAGGAGTGCGTAAGGACATGGAGTTGTGTTTCGGGTCTATGGGTTACTGCCCGAAGGGTCCGAGCACCTAATTATCATACACTCTCCAAAATTCTAATCTACATAACTATTATCCCAAACCCGAGTACCTGATTATTGGGTGCTTTGGACCCCTAGGGCTGTATAAGGTTACTATCCGGGATCTAGAAGGGCTTACGGGTTGAGCCGTCGGGCGAAATGTGTGCATCTTCGTATGGCTCCACTAGCAGTAAAAACATACACCGAAACCCCAAAAATATCTTTCACGACCCAACCCTGGCCTAAACCCTACACTCGAAGCCGTAAAACTATCTTCCGCCGCCCTACTTTTAAGAGCCGCTGCGTGCAAATGCCCGCCTTGCGGCTTCTGTGAGTTTCGTGCGATGGCACTAGAAAATGGCGCAGATTTCTTCTTCGGGTCTGGGTGTTATATGTGGGCCTGAATGATAATGGAGTTCTTTTATGGGTTACGGTAAGGGCTATAAAGCCCTAAACCCCAGCCCATCAACCCCTACCCCTAAACACGAAAACCCCAAACCTTGGACTGAATCCCAAAAGCGGTAAACCCTAAAACCCCAAACTCAAACCCCGCACCCCAAATGGTGGGTTTCCGAAAACAGGAGACCCTACTATAGTACCCTAAGTGGTAGGATCCTTATTATAAGGACCCCCAAAAAGGTGCCCCTAATTTTCGGAAACTCAAACCCTAAACCGTTTATAGAACCCTTATAGATCCCTTTAAGGAACCTTTTAAGGATCCCTTTTAAAGGAATCCTAAGGTATTTTCGGAAACTCACAAATAAGGAATTCGTACTACGAGGGCCTTTTGCTTGAGTCGGGCCACGGGTTTTCAGCCCTTGAGCTCGGAACCTCTGGTTTTTCCGAGTTTGGGCTTTGGGTTTGGCGTTTTGGGGTTTAGGGTTTTGGGTTCAGGATTTAGGGTAGGGGCTTAGGGCTTAAAGTTTTGGGGTTTAGGGTTTAGGGTCACGGTTTAGGGTACAGTTTGGGGCTTAAAGTTTTAGGGTTACGGTTTAGGGTAAAGTTTGGGGGTTAAAGTTTTAGGTTTAGGATTTAGGGTTGGGCTAAGGGAGAGGTTGCCAATCTCTTCTGCTGCTAATGTAAACGGCTCAAAGCCGTGCAGCCCCGACTACCTGTGAGAGGAGCTGCCAAGTCCTGCTGGCCCGCCATCTAATACCCTGAACGCCTAAACTCCGAGCAGTGAACTTGCAGGCTTGAACCCTCAAGCACACGATAAACCCTAAACTCCTAGACCCTCAAACCCGCATAGGTCCATGCCATACGAGTCCAGAGCGAACACTTCTGGCCCGTGACCATCGAGCGCAGCTCCAAAGGAGTGAGCCCAACGGGTTCTGGGGTTACGGGCGTTCGGGTTTATAGGGCTTACCCGAAGGGTCCGAGCACCTAATTATCATATACTCTCCAAAATGGTAACCTACATAACTATTATCCCAAACCCGAGTACCTGATTATTGGGTGCTTTGGACCCCGAAGGTTAGGGCTTTAGGCTTTAGGTTTTAGGCGTCGGACATTAGGCTTAGGGTTCTAGGACTTGAGGGTTTAGGTCTTTAGGGTTTAGGGTGTTGAATGGTTTTATATGTTTGTTATATGAATACAAAGAAATATAGATATTCAAACGTATCTTCAAAATATCGGAATAAATATTTTAGATATCGAAGCAATTAACCTGGTTGAGCCTTTCTGGGCCTCTGGCTAGTTGACTTCTGCACTTTGGGGGCATGTAAAAGTTCACTAAATCTACAAACAGGAAGTTCAATGTGTGTGGCAGAACGGTGTTTTGGGTTGAAGGTTGACTTATCACATAACATAACTAACATATATGGCTTCGGGCATCGAAACCCGTAGGGTTCAGGGTTTATGGACGAAAGTACTCAGGGTTTATGGACCAAAGTGTTCAGGGTTTATGGGTTTATGGCATTGCAAGCCGAAGTGTTCTTCTACTCCGAGCCTAACCATTCTAGTTGAGGGCTTCGCCCTTGCCTGGGACATAGAGTTGTAGATCAGAACCATTCTTAGGCTCGGACAACACCTTAACGTCCTAAACTCCTATGCAAAAATGCCTGAATTTGACTCTCAGGGTTTCGAACTCTTGGACGAGGTGCTAGAGGCAGAGATGTGCCTACGCCCTCAAGATTCAATTCTGCGGGGCCCTAAACCTTAAAGACGTCCATCAACCCCTAAACTTAAACTAAACCTTCAAGAAGTCGACACCCTGCGATTGGGCTTCAGGGCACCCTAAACCCTTAACCCTACACCCTAAACCCTAGGCCCTAAACGCTAAACCCTTTCAGCCTCAACGGCTAGGAGCCGGTGCTGCTGAAAACCGCTGGATGAAGGTTGGGTCGTCCCATCAGGGAAGGGCTCTATAGGGGGTCCTTTTAAAGGGATCCTTAAAAGGGTTCGATATAAGGGGCCACTACAAGGATACTATAGTACAGGGTCACATCAGGGGGATCCGGGATGCCTGGCTTTCTTCAACACGGGTTTAGTATAGGGTTTTAGTGGTTTAGGATAGAGTTTTGGATTTAGTATAGGGGGTGTAGGGTTCATATATAGGGTTTAGTAAAGGGGCTTCAATAATTACCGTACTATGGCGGGGCGTTAGGATCGTACTATGATATTGCACAGCGCGCTCTTCTATGTATTATAGTGAACCCCAGAAAGTTGGAACATGGATTTAGGATGATTACTGCTAGGTTTCCTTCTTCTTTACCAGGGAATGAGGATGATGATGTTCCAGCTCTCTGGCTTCTGCTGTATGGCCCCTGTATTTGGTCTCCAGGGGACCGACTCAAGATCATCAGTTCCCGGAGCCCTCGTCTTTTTACTGTTTGGGGAAGCCTATAAGGTCCCAAACCCTATACCGTAGACCCGCAATCATAAACCCGAAGCCAGAGACCCAACACGGCCCAACACGTTAAAGCTTAAACCCTATATGGGTAGTTGTCAAAATTATGGCCCCTTTTTGGGTAGCCTAAATAATAAATAATAGGTGCCTTATTCTAATAGTGACCCAAAAAGGGACCATAATTTTGACAACCGCCCATATACCTCAAAACCCTACAGCTGAACTCTAAACCGCCTCAGTGGCTCTATTCTTCGATGCAAGCGGATGGTAGGATGGGGGGTTGAACGGTTTAGGGTTTAGGGCTTAGGGTTTACATTAGAATAAGCATTTTGGGGTTTCGTGAAGAGTTCTTGTACAAGGACCCTGAAACCCTGCATCCCTCACCAGCTTAGGGTCGTTATAAGCGCTCCAGAAAGGGGTTCTAGACGGGATTATAGTGAGGGATTCATTTGGTACTTACGAGTTGCTCGAATAGTTTCGCACAGAAAAATCCTCGGCCCTAAACCCAGTTTCGGGGCCGATACAGAGGTTCTTCCATGTCTCCGCAGGTTTCTGGAATGCCCGAGCCCAGTAATTCGCTCTGCGTTGATGCCCTACTTTCGTGTCTTGTTGAGGGCTTGGGGTTTAGTGCTATTGCAAGGCCGAGTATATTCAAGGTTTAACGGTTTAAGACAGGATTAGGCAGTAGCTCCGGCTGATGATTCATGACTCATTAGTCAGAGAATCGGGATGATGATCAGTGCTAAGGGCTTTGGTTGAGCAGGGCTGAAGGGCTCGCATCGCAACAGGGTTTGATGCAGAAGTTTCGTCGTTTCAGACTTCCAGACAGTTCTAGGCACCAAAGACAGACCGTCAAATGGCCGTGCTGCATGTCTGGGGAGTTTCGGGGCGAGAGGTGGCTTCCATCCCTATGCAAGAACTGCAAGATGCGCGAATGTTGAAGCAGATCTTGCACAAGATGTGTGGTGTCCCGCGCTTCCGGCAGAGATTACTGCATGATGGCGAAAGCTTGGACGACGGGGCATGCTTAGACTTGCTGGAGGATGTGCAACTGGTGTTGCTGGACTACTGTCCAGCATCTTCGCGTGACGTTGTGGAACTCTACGAAGCCGCGGAATGTGGCGATGTACTAAAGGTTGAGATCGCCCTGCAACGACCGCAAGATCCGAGCTTGACGAAATCTCCCACTGGCCCCTCTCCACTTCAGAGGGCTTCTCGAAATGGTCATGTGGAGGTCGTCCGGCTCCTCTTGGAAGCCTGGGCTGACATGGAGAGATGTCATTACTATGGCTCTACGGCCTTGGGTAACGCAGCTGCTTTCGGGAAGATGGGAGCTGTGTGCACGCTCTTGCAGGCCGGCGCCGAAAAAGACAACGGCACAGTGACCCCACTCTATGCTGCATCTGCTGAAGGACACGTAGAGATTGTGCGCTTGTTGCTGGAGCTTCGTGCCGACGTGAACAAGAATTCGAACCCCAGAATCGCCACGACAGCTCTTGGGGCGGCCTCCCTGTACGGGCACGCTGAGACGGTCTCCGTGCTGCTTAAGGAAGGAGCTGACAAGGACCAACTTTGTGGAAGAGATAACGCGACTGCCTTGACTTTGGCTGCCCGCAACGGACACCAAGAGGTGGTGCGCCTTCTGCGAAATGAGGCCAGCTCCTTCTGTACCTTTCAATAGCGACTGAGTCGCACCAATCGTTGAAGTTTGAAGCTTGTTTCATCCCCTGGGAGCTGATAGCGTTTCCCGGAGCTTATCATTGGGCTGCTGCACATGACGGCCACCCGAAGTTCCATGTCGACCTTACTGCACCGTGGGAATGCCCAGCCGCGGTGTTTGACACAGAAAATGCCTCTTTCGACAGATGATGTTCTTGCGAAGCTCTGTTCCGATGGGTCATCTGCTGGAGGGAGAAGAACCTTTTTCAGTTCGTGGCTTTAAGATGGTCAACGTGCGGATCTTGCAGCTTCAACATGGGTCCAGACTCCCAGGTCGGACTAGAGTGGGGGGGGGGTCCTTTAAAGGGATCTATAAGGGCTACTATAAGGAGATCTAGAAGGGGATTTATATGAGCTCTAGGCTTTCGAGTGGTTACGGTCAGGGTTTGGGTTCAGGTTGAGGTTTCAGGAAGGATTAGCACAAACCCTTTGTTCGTGACCATGGTCGTTGCAAAGCTCTCGGCTCTAGAACGTCTTGGTACACTGAGTTTAGGGTTTGATGGTTATGGTGTGTTTGAATGCCTGGAGGTAGATTTGTTGTTGGTTTGGGGTTTGGATTTATCTTTGAAGCTTCAGTGTGCTCGGACTCTTAGCTTCGATTTGACAGGTACTGGCCTTCATGCTTTGAACGAAGAACCCTAAACCCCAACTGGTGCTGGAAAGAAGGCAGTGACCCAACCAACCGCTTCGAGGATGTCGTCGTCTTACCCGGGTTAGGTTTTAAGGAGTATAGGTAGGGTTTACGTACGGTTTAGAGTTTTGGGTTTAGGTTTCCAAGGGCCTCGGACGACGCTTCGGCAGCTTGATGCTAAAACTTCCCATGCGGCCCCTGACAATTCTCAAAGCAATGAGTTTGCAGGCTTTGCAAACTACTCGCCGCTTCTACGTGAAGCGCCGCGATGGCCAAGAGAACAGGCGCGGAAAGGATTGAATGCAAAGGCGTGTGGCTTTCTCCCAGGCAACTATTATAACAGGTAACTAACCCAAACCCTTGACCCCAAACCCCTCATTCGGGCTTCACACAGGACCAAAGCAAGAGCACAGGCCTAAAGCATCATAATGTGGATCTGGGTCGTTTGTGCATCAAGGATCCCGCCGTCCATCAATGGTTTTGTATTGCTAACAGCACCAGATGCAGCCACATGAATTGTAGCGCGGCCGCAGCCATACCAAACTTGATGTAACAGTTCGCTGTTTTCAGAGTCATGGTTGCCGCGTTGATGCTGATGGCGTTGCCGGTGATGGTCAACGTGGCGACCATGCTGCCAATGATGACGATGAAGATGGTCATGATTATGATGATGGTGATGCTGAACAGACAACCACAGGATGTTGATGATGACGATGACGCCGAAGAGGGCGATGATGTCGATGGCGACTTTGCACAAGCCCTTTGCCATTCAGGATGTTCAGTCGGACATGATCAGTGTCAAACTTGCTCTATACGAATTCTCTTCAACATTCACCCCTACTTCATGTTACAGGCTTATCTATAGTCACGTTTCACCGGCAATGTTGCTCCCTGGACCTTGAACCACACAAGACCCTGAAATATCACCCGCAACCCAGCAGCACACCGGATCCAGGCAAACAAATTCATGATTAGGTTCAGGCTGCAAGTAGACATGTTCCCAACATCGGACCCCTTGCCATAATCTCCATCCTGTAATTGCTTTACTCTAAACTCAGAACACCACATCGTGAACGAGCCTTGAACTTTGGACCCACATTTCTTCAAAAGAGAAACTCTCTTTTTCGGGGGCCGCCCAGCCTTCCACACGGAGCATGAAGGTCCGATTCCATGGGTTTAGACGCAGCGAAGGCAGCAGTCCGGTGTGCTCGGGGCACGGAGGTTAGCAACATTGTCAGATTGTAGAGTATTATAGGTTTGCGGTAACTAAGTGTTCTTCTACCGACAACCAGAACAAGTCTTGAAGGAGAAAGTAAACATGTATATTTCGTTGCAGCAACAGCTCAGCAGGAAGACGACAAGAGTGTCAAACAGCCAATGTTTACTACAGTTTTCCATGATTTCTACAACTGTTCACCTTCCAGCCCCTGGTAGACTTACTTCGTAACATGAAGGATTCGACTGTCGCTCATGTGCGTGTGGGTTTCGGGTTTGGGGTTCAGGGTTATGGGGGTGAGGGGGACGGGACTACTGCCTTGGAGAGTTGCTCTGGGACTGATGCCTCATTTCTACTAAGTTGCTGCTACGGTCCTTTGAAACCAGCGGTATAGCGTGCCAATGATCCGGGACATGGAGCCTTTCGAACCTGAACAGATTCACGAGTTCTTTCAAAGCCTGCATGTAGGTGGCTTCACGGCACCCATGAACAACTGCTCTAACAATGCGGACGAAGCCCTGGTTCATGGTCCTGGTGTACGAAACGTACGCCAACAAGAGAACAAAAATAGCAGGTTTCCCCAAAATTGCATGTACCCATGCAGCATATACTTTTGCCCTATGGCACCGAAAACGCGATCACTTTAAGTTTATGACCAATGCATATACCCCAGGAAATGAGTTCCCCGACCCTTCGGGCTTACCAGGGGTCGATGCTACGTGACCATACTGAAAGGTGATTGGTTTGATTTGTATCACGATGATCTCCGAACTTCCTAAACCCAGCACCCTCAAAAGGATCAAGCACTGAATTTGAGTTCTTCATGCCCTGTGCATTCCCAGTTGAGGCGCGGGGTCGTGTCCCGTTGTCAGAAGTCGAAAGCCTCACCAGCCGAGAAAGGCTTGGTTTCCAAACTTCACTGCGCCGAAGATGCACCATCTGGTGCAGCTCTCAGCCGTTGGGGATTTGGGGTTCACTAGCCGGGCTATGTTCCGTTTTGGGTGTGATGTACATGGACGACTGAGACTAGATGCCTTGTTCGGACTATCGATGGCCATACTCTAGATGTTCGCTATCTTCCGGCCCTGAAACATTTAACACGTTTTTAAAGTTTAGCATCTCAAAAGTGTTCATCGTCATCATCGTTACCACTACTAGCTAGCATCTCAAGACTCATCATCGACATCATCATTATCGCTAGCAGCATCAGCAGTGAGAAAGAGCGATGACAACTGGAAAGACTAAAACCCATCCTGCGATCTTTGATTTCGGTAGCCTGTGGAGTATTTGGTCAGTATTGCTTGGTCCTATGGGGTTTAGGGTGTAGGGTTTAGGGCTTAGGGTGTCCTTCATCTAGGGGAGACTCCTCAACCGTCTTGGTGCAAGAACCACGCTGATAGTGTTGCTTCCATCCAGGAAGCATGAGCTTCTGCTGAGATTTGCCAATGCTACAATATAATTTAAGATACTGTATCATATACTCCGTAAGAAACTAGAAGATACTAAAGAGTATATGACACACTTGTGTTGAACTAGTGTTCGTGAATCGTCATCGCTCTGTTCACAGGAAAGGTTTAGGATGGTGTGGGGCCGTTGAACATGGGGTTCCGGGTTCAAGTCTCTGCATGAGTGTGTTGGATCGGCCGTTTGGGTTCATCGCCTTGTTCCATCAAAATCTACGTGAACCCAGTGTCCGGGAGTCGCGTTCATTGTTGTAGCATCGTACACCCAGAGACTCAAATATCCCGTGATTGAGGGATATCCCTTAGATTCATGTTATGAGTCCTACTATAACTGCAGGTACATTCCTGAATCCCCTATAGAACCCTTATAGATCCCCTTACAGAGCCCTTTAAGGAAGCCGTAGGGGATATTCCGTAATTCATGGATTTTGGAGTCTCTGGGCACTGCGGTTGCTATCAAGGCTTGAGCAGCTCTTGTCATGTCGAAACTTTCCTTGTAGAGGAAGCGGAATTAGGGGTTTAGGGTTTTAGGGTTTAGGGCTTTAGGGTTTTAGGCTTTAGGGCTTTAGGGTTTCGGGTTAAGGTTTAGGGTTTAGGGTAGGTTGCAGGGCTTCGGGTTTAGGGCGGAGAAATTTTTGGAGCTTTGAGCGCTTAGAATCTCAGGCTCAGTTCGATGACACGCTCGGGGTTTAGGGCTCAATAAAAGAAGCCTCAACGCATACAAATCGCATTCCTCCTTGGGGTCCTTGTTATAAGGCATAATACGATAGCATACCCCGAAGGCCCCTATGCTAAACCCATTTGCTATAGTACGGTTGATGATATAAATCCTGCATTACCCATAATAAGGAATATACCATAATTCCCATAGTTTAGGGTCCTTAAGGTCATGCAGGATTTATATCATCAACAGTATCCATCCAGCCAGCAACCCTTTTGTTATTCTCAGAATGGCAGTTATAGGCCCTTGAAGGTTTTTGGGCGCAGAGCCCTAAACACCTAAACCCTTAACTCTAAATTCCTAAAACCCTAAACACCTAAACCCTTAACCCTAAATTCCTAAAACCCTAAACACCTCAACCCTTATCCCTAAATTCCTAAAATCCTAAACACCTCTACCCTAAACCCTAGATTCCTAAAACCCTAAACACCTAAACCCTTAACCCTAAATTCCTAAAACCCGAAACCCTAAACATTAAACACCTCATCCCGAAACCCGGGACTGCATAGCCGCAAACCCCTAATGTAGGAACCTGATTGGGTGGTTGTCAAAATTAGGGTCCCTTTGAGGGTGCCTATTATAATACGGCACCTATTATTTAGGGTACCCAAAAAGGGACCTTAATTTTGACAACTACCTGATTAAGAAACCCTGGGCCTTTTACCCCCAAAATAGTAGCATTCACGTAAGGAACCCTAATAAAGGCCCAAGGTTTCTTAATCAGGTTCCTGCATCAAACCCCCCAAAAGCCTTATAGTACCCTTTAAAGGAACCCTTATCGAACCCTAGTAAATGCCCAAGGTTTCTTATTCAGGTTCCTATACATTTATACAACCCTGAACTCCTCAACCTTAAACCTCTAAACCCTAAACCTTAAAACCCAAAACCTTAAAGCCCCAAACCCTAAACCTTAAAACCCTCAACCCATAAACCTTGAAACCCTGACCATTAAAACCCTAAACCTTAGACCCTAAACCGGTGGACTTGACCATGATTGACTATGGACGTCTGTATTCGGAGTGGATGCAGAATGCGCTGCCCTCTGCACAAGTCGTTACGCGGTACGGCAAGGAGCTGCTTGAGTTGTTTGAGGCCCAGTACCTCGTCTACATGAGCCAGGATGAGGTGAGCTGTCTGGACCTCTTGGGGATTGTGGAGATGACAGGGGGCGATCCGGGCACGAGAGCAGCGGCTGCTGAAGGGTTCGAGGTTCACCTGGAAGAGGCAACAGGGTCAGATCAAGCAAGGGGTCGTGAAGATGACAGGGAGGCTGGTTGCTGAAAGGTGTTTGCCAGGGCCTGTAGTGTTGGCCCTGTCTCCTGGCCCATGGGGCCTTGATGTAGCAAAACCCGGGTTGCAGGCATCAAAAAGGAGCTCAAAAAAAAACTAAACCCTAAACCCTCAGCCTTAAAACCCTAAACCTTAAAACCCTAAACCCTAAACCTTAAAGCCCCAGACCCTAAACCTTAAAACCCTAAACCCTAAACCTTAAAACCCTAAACCTTGGAACCCTAAACCCTAAACCTTAAAACCCTAAACTTTAAAACCCTAAACCTTAAAGCCCTAAACCCTAAACCCCGCAACCCTAAACTCCTCAACCCGGACGTCAGGAGCGACTTCTTCAAGCGAAGGGGAAGAGCTCGCCGTCTCCGTCTTCGCCTTGTTTGGGAGCTAGAGGGGCTCCTTTAAAGGGCTCCATAAGGGATCTATAGGGTTTAGGGGTTAAGGGTTAGGGTTTAGGGCTTTAGGGGGTTAGGGCTTAAAGGGTTGGGAGTTTTCGAAAATAAGAGACCCTAATACAGTACCCTAAATAGTAGGATCCTTAGTATAAGGACCTCACAATAAGGTATCCCTAATGTTCGGAAACTCCCATTTTACGAGATTACGTTTAGAAGAAACTGGAATTTCAGGCTTCCAGGGTTTAGGTGTTCAGCTTTTGGGGTTTACGGGTTTATGGCTTCCCTCAACACGCAAAATGCTTGGGATGCAGCCTCTTGAGTCTGCGGAAGGTGATCCTTGGCCCAAAGCTTTAGTTCGCTATCCTCAGCGATCTCGTTCCGAAACCTTATCTCATATCCGGCAACACATAACCTGGTCACCCTCCACCTCTGGATGGTTAGACGGAGGTTGACAACTGACTGCACCGACACTTGCATTACGCATGGACATGCTATGAGTGCGTACACACTCCCTTATGGTGGCAGAAGTACCTATGCGTCAGCAATCAAGAATTCTGGATAATTCTGGGCTTTAGCCTTGGGCGTGGGGTTACCGGTAGCATGGTTTCGGTTTTGTGTTTGTGATTTCTTGGTGTGTTCTTCTAGTTTTCAGGTTTCAAACCTGTTGGAGTATGAAAGCCCTTCGTCGCCCCTAACCCTCAACCATAAAACCCCAAAGCCCGAAGCCCAATCCCTTAAACCCTCAACCTGCATCAATACCCTAAACCCTCTTCCAGCCCTAAAACCTAGGCCGAGCCCTGAGCCCTGAAGCCCTAAACCCTCGACCCTGATAGTAAAAACTAAACTCTAGCCTTAATTACTATAACAGGGTTTTGGGGCTCATTCTACAATAACTATCAAATGGAAACCCCCCCAGAATAGTACAGGTAATTCTTAAGGCCCCTCTATTAAGGTTTCCAACCCAAATCCTTAACCTTCAAACCGAAACCTTAAAGCCTTAACCCTGAGCCCCATACCGGAACCCCTGTTTGAAGGAACTTCTTGCAGGAAACAAAGGAACCCCTAAAGGGGCCCTTAAAAGGACCCCTTGATAACATCGCTTCTGGCAGCGTTCCTGAGGCAGGGAGGCATGATGCTGTCCTGGCTCCAGGGCCGGTCCCTGGATGGAGGCTGGCATTTAAATAGGGTTTAGGGTTTAGGGGTTTAGGGCTTGTGAACTGAAGCGCCGCGCCTCGATTAAAGGGGGTCGTCCACGGCGCCTCGCGCGGAATCTAAAACCCCACCCCAAGGCCACATTGTCTACAGTCGCATCGGTTTCTGTGTTTTAGGGGTACAGATGCAAACATCACTCAACACAACACAGCAAGGTTCGTGGTACACGAAAGGTGCAGCAGGAGCAAGATGCAAATGCGTGGAACATTGTTTTATCGGGTCAGCACCGGACTGGTGAGGAGTTACAAGGCTGACGGACCGCGCACCTTTGAAAGTACTGTTTTGAGGAGCAGATGACCGACACTTAAAGTATTTAGTGGCCTCTGGGCGGGAGGATTAGAGGGTTTTAGAATTTTAACAGGTTTGACGCAGAAGGCTGCATCCGCCACAAGCTACGCGCACTGGGCTTCGGAGGGATTGTGTGTCGGCAGCATGCCTTTGCTTTGAAGCCCAACCTACACGTGCCTCGGCTCGACCAACCCACACCAAGAACAGTAGAATACGAGAACAAGCTGTGGGTCCGAATGCGGAAACAGGTAGCACAGGTTGGAGCCCGTTGCGTCCAAACATTTTGGTACCTGCGTGGGCCGCCAAGTAGGGGAATCCAGCGAGTTCAGATCACTGACACGCAAGTGTATACTCGAATGCTTTATTATCGGAGCACATGCCGTTGTGGAGGTTCAGCTCAAGACTGCAAACGTTCGAAGGCACTTGGGCCAGAAAGGACCGAGGTTCAACGTATTCAGAGACTGCTCCGATGTCTGCAGCCAAGCCTTTTAGGCCCTGTGCGTTCGCTGTAGACGCGGCAAATCGAGGCATGCTTGGGAAGAACTTGTGAGAAGCGCTACAGAATGCGGCGCGAAGCTTCGAATGACAGTCGGGACGACGAATGCATTCGTGGAAAGTGTAGACAGCGATGCATAAAGTCACGAGGCCATAGGGCCACATGCCTCCGGCGGCGAAACAACCCTCGACCGACTACAAAAGCCAGAAGGCCTCGCGCTCAGCGCGTGTGCTGAACCTTATAACCCAAAACGTTGGATAGTGGGGATCCTAAACCGCCAAGTGGAGAAGCCCGATGGCCCCCAACCGATCAGGCAAAAGGAGCTCCAAGTCACGGAAGCTCAGTTGATGTCCTGCGGGTTGACGATTGTATCTGTGGCGGTGCAACGGGTGAGGGCGACATCTGGACACATCGTGCTCACTTTGCCGGCGACGCGGTTAAACTATGAAGGCGAAGCCCTGCATCCCAGACCAATCCTTTCGCTCAAGCCTTCATCCTTGGATGCCTTTAACTCTAAGTGCGCCCGAAGCCTCTAATTGCTGTAGAAAAAGTAAAAAATTGCCTATACTATTTGGCGGTTCCTCATTATAACTCTATAAAGGAGCCCGAAACCCTGTTCCAATTATCAAAGCCCCTACATTATCCGAAAACCCAGGGCCTGACATTCGTTTGCAACCTGAGCTTTGTGCAGATCTCGATCCGCTGGAGGTCTATCCTTCTTGAACCTGTTGAAGCCAGAACCTAGATATAGGGGCATTAACACTTAAGAACAATCTATACTTTTTTAGTTATAGTAGAATGAGCCTCAAAACCCGTTTGATTATTATATAGAAGGCTCCTATATTATACCCTTAACCCTAAACCACGCTGGGCAGCCCTCAATCTTAAACCTTTTTCAGACCTTTCGAAGCATAAACCTTTGGAGCCCATTAAAGCCCCAACGCCTCAAGCAGGTTTAGATTTAGGGCTGTTAGGCTTTAGGGTTTCTAATCCTAATTTCTCATGAAGCCCCTACAAAACCCTGCAGAGCAGCATACACTTCTGGGGCCTCAAAAAGCGGGATGAGGGAAGGCAGGCTTAAGGATAACCTCACATACGGACTTTCGGTAAGGGTTACCCCACCTACCCTCAGCCCACATAGGGCCCTAAACCCTACATCCTAAAAGTGAGTCTTTCTTTGAACCTTCCAGGGGCCCTTGGTGCAGAGAGAACCGTCGAGAGCTGAGCTATCGACGATGTTCACAAGCTGTCGTGTGTTGCCGATTTTGGAAGTTTCTTATAAGGTGGCCAACAATTTAATAGGATTTCGACAATTTGTTCAAGGGCTTCCGCAGAGTATTCCAGTGTTCCTTTTGACCAAGACATTTTACTCCGCAAGTAAGTGTTTTCGATCATCTCTGCGATGCTTTTCTTTTGCTTGAAGGCTTGGGATCTGGGGCTTTAGGGTTCGGATCTGTCGGGCTTCGGATTTGTAGAGGTTAGAAGGACTTATAGTAAACCTCAAAAAGTTGGAAACCGGGTTAAGGACAATTGGTGCTGAGATTCCTCATGTGCTACTCTTAAGGATTGAGGCTACTGGGTTTCCAACCTTTGGGTTTCTACTGTAAGCCTGTCTTGGGGCCGAAGAGAGCGTCCTTTCACTGGGCTTGTGAATGAACCCCGATCGAACGAAAGGTAGAGCACAAAACCTGTAGAGATGGCCACCAACTGAACGGTGTGAAGACGGTGGCCGCAACTTGTTTGAATCAATTCGGCAGCAGCAGCAGCAGCAGTGAAAAAGCTTGTTGTTCTGTCCTTCCATACATATGTATATTTTATGTGTATACATATACGTGTACATGTATGTGCACATATATATGTATACACACAGCTCCGGGTGCGCACATCCAAGTCTGAAAATGGAACATAAGCACAAATGGTCATAAACCTAGGTATGCGCATATGCATATATATATATACATATGTATACACACACATCTACATGAGCACGCCTATGCATACATAATTGCATACATAGGTACATACATACATGCATACATACATACAAACAAATATACATATATACACACATACATACGCCGCAACTTGCCATGTACATCTAGCCATCATAGCTCTTGCTTCTGATCCGTAAATATCAAGTCCCACCGTCGGCCCATAAACACTTCGAGTTGTAGAGATGTAGAACAGAATATGATCATGTCTATCACTACGAGCAGTCCTATCGTGACTAATAACATGGTTCTTACGACTATTGCCATTATTGTCACTATGGTCAAAACCCTAAGCCCTAAATTCTAGTTCAGGTCAATGCCACGGAGTGGGCTGCTGTGCTGTGCTTCGAGCCCGCACCGGCACTGCCGCCAGGTCGCTCGTCGAGCCTTTCGGAGGGCTTTAGAGCTTTGGGGCTTTTGGGCCTTGCGCGTAGGGGCTTCAGGTGCGCTTCAGTGTTTAAGGCATTTGGCTTTAGAGCTCTCGGAGTTTAGGCCGTGGACAAAAACGACAACCGCTCTGGCGCAATCAATAAGTGATACCAACCTGTCTAATGAGTCTAGTTTCTCAGATACAACTATGGCAGCCGTCAAGAGCCGGGCATGCGAAAGTTCATGTCGGTCACAACACAAGCGATGGCTCCTTACAAAGGCAATTACAGGGTTCTGAGGGTATTGATAAAGAGACCTCAATATTCGCCGCCAGGGGCTTGGCATGGATATATTGTTCAGTTTTGCAGCACCCCAAGCCGCAAACCCTAAACCCCGAGCCCCATGACAGATGGTTTAAGAAAAATCGGATGCGAAGAAGCAGCTCTAGAAAGCGGTTGAGTTTGATCGTCGAGTTCTTTCATTGGTCAAGGGTTTAGGAGCTTAGGGTTTCTGCTTTTGGAGCTATAGAGTTTGTCGGTTTGGGGTTCAAATGTTTTAGGGCTTTAGCCTGACAGGACTGTACCCCTTTTATCAAGCCACGGGTCACGGTTGCCAGTGCGAAGGGAGATTTCGACTTGTTGGCGGCAGTTTTACTTTGGACGATGAACAGAGACACGGCCAGGTCCGTGATAAACAGACGTAGACTCCGGATACCCGACATATATTTCGAAAAGCATAACGAAGACACTGGAAAACCATTCGTTGACTGCTCTCAGGTATCCATGCCCTTTTCGGACAAATATTTTTCACCAACTTGAAAGCAGTCTCAGTGCGAACAACCCTGTTATCATGTTGAGTGTTTATGCACAAGCTAGCCGCCCATTGATTCTCAAGCATCGGGAAACAATCTACATTGAGCCTGAAGCCCCAGACGCAAAACCCTAAACCATCGTTGCTACAGCTGGCCCTCTCTGTGTGTGTAGATGGCGACCGAAAACGGATCTACGAGCATATCCAAACCTCATTGGGTTTCATTCTAATAAAGGAGGTCTATATGGTATATCATATACGGTATATCCCTATCCCATGTTTTGCTTATGTGACCTGTTGGGCCCCCGTTAGTGCTGAAGAGCCTGGCCTTGCGAGTTAAGGATTTGCAAAGGCGAAATCAAGCCTTGCGACATGGTTGAAGGTGAATCTTTCGTAGTACGAGTAGTATGAAACTTGTGACTGCATCTGGTCGCAGTTATCATACAGCTTGTATATGTTGTACAAAAGCCTGCCAATATGCCTGAATCGAAGCCTGCACGTGTAGTATTCAGCGAGCACCCGTGAACCATCAAGCAACGAGCGTCCAAGCATTGCATTACTCCACGTGGTGTCCTGGCGCACTACTATTAACCCGTGTGCCATAGGTCCTTAGAGTAGCTTTGTCTGGATACCAGCCCCGAACCTCAAACCCAGATCAAAGTTTGGACTAATTGCACAAACATCCGGTAAACCCTTGCGCCCGAACCTTTTTATCCGAAGCCTTAAAACCCTAAACCTTGACGATTTCAGGTTTTAGGGGTTTGGGCTTCTAGCTGCCACGCCTCTGCCAGATACATGTCTGGCCGATTTCGATGAAGAGGACGGAACTTTGGTCGAGAGGTTCGCGCGCCTCCTCGTGGAGCCAGGTGCCGGGTTACGGTCATGTTTGATGAATTGGCCTGGGCTGCATAGAGTGTTTTGTCGTTTTACGATGGCTTGATGAGATTTTGATAGGGTTTCGGAAAGGTCGGTGTCGTTTGACTTCTTGAAACGCGTCCAGCGCCTCAGGTCTAAGTTCGAGACTTGTTTGATGATCGGCTCGCGACATGATGTGGGCCGCAGGACGTTGTGGCTTCAGGATTGCTGAGGATCTCGGACGTGGACCCGACGTTCGGGGTTTAAGATCGATCCTACTGACATTCCCCCCCCGAGCCCCTAATCCGCGGCTCTGTGTTAGAAATTCGGACTAACATTCCGTAACACTCCTTGGTATCAATAGCCTAAGTGGGGCATAATAATGAGCTTAGATGCCCCAAACCCTGATCCTAAACCCAAAACCCTAAACCCCGAACCCCTAAACCTAAAACCCTATATCCGGAACCCTATACCCACAGCAACGCAGGCGGTGGCAACCCAGCCAAGCCGCTCCGGGATTTGCCTTTGCATGCGCTGCTGGCGCAGGAACTGCCGACGACTCAGGTGCAGTTACGGTTTAGGGGCTTTGGGCTAGGCTTAGGGCTCAAGATTGAAAGTAGGCCTTACGACGTAAAGTTTGGGGTCTGGCTTTTGGGGTTTTGGGTTGGGGTAAGGGAATCTGACATTCTAAGCCCTCCACCAGAAGCCCTTCAACCGGGTAGAGGTCGGACCAAGTGGAAAGCATCTCGTTTAATCTCGTAAGACTGAGACTCTAAATAAAGAAATCCCAAAACCTTTTTGTCTGATGGATGTTGAGAATTTCGCGTTTGAGAACGCCTGAGTCTCAGCCCGAGCTTCTTACGTGCGAATCTTGTCGCATTTTCAGGTAGGGATTTGGGGTTCAGTGTTCCGGGTTCAGGTTACATCATTCCATGCGCCCGCAGTAGGCGACCAGCACAACAGGCTCGTGTGTATGTGTCTGCATTTGTGGATGTACGTGTTTAAGTGTGTACGTATTTCGTACATGCACATATGTATATATGTATGTATGCATGCATGCATGCATGCATGCATGCGTGCATGCATGGATGTATGTATGTAGGTATATATATATATATATATATATATATGTGTGTGTGTGTGTGTGTGCCTGTGTTTGTGGGCATAAGCAGGAACGCACATGACGTGTGGGGCGCAGACACACATCTTAAAGTCAGAATGTGCCTTCTATTGTAAGACCGATAGACTCATGCTGCACACTAGGGGACATGAGTGTCGATAAAGCATGTGACATACTGGCATGCATACACACATACAGGCATGCGGGCATCCAGACGTACAAGAACATACATGCACCCACACACACACACACATGCAACACACACACACACCCACACGCACACGCACATGCACACACACACACAACGTGGTACATGTACGCGTACACATGTATACATGTGCAGTTATACGCCTGTCTACGCGTATATTCACACAGATACACACACACACAAATGTTTGCATATACACACATACGCACACATGCACCAACCTGCACACACACACACATACAAGCACACATAAACGCATGCTCTCACACACATATGCTAACATGCAGACACAGACACACACACACACACACATGTATGTATGTATGTATGTATGTATGTATGTATGTATGTACGTATGTATGTATGTATGATGTCTGTGTGCATGTATGTATGTATGTATGTATGTATGTATGTGTGTGTATGTGTGTATGTATGTATGTATGTCTGTGTATATATATATATATATACATATATTATACATATAGATATATACACATATATACAAATCTCTACATATACATATACATATACATATACATATACATATACATATACATATACATATACATATACATATACATATACATATACATATACATATACATATACATATACATATACATATACATATACATATACATATACATATACATACATATACAGATATATATATATATATATATATACTTTTTAATATGTATTGCTGAGGCACCAGTGTGTGGTGGAATCCAAAGTGGTCGGTGACTCAATCGATTGCGGAAGTTAGGCTCATTCCAGGCACAGCCACACACATTTTTGAATTTTTCTCCGTCAAGGGCCTAAGCCATACATGGTCAAGGCTCAGCCGTAATGGCTAGCTGAAGTTGCGCATTTCCCGGAAGGGTTTGAAAAAGGAGCCGTTCCTAAACACTCTCAAGAACCCTTCTGCTTTAGACATCATAGCCCTCATAGCACCATACAGAAAGCTTCAAACACAATGCCTAAACGCATCTAAACCCCAAGCCACGTAATTGCACCCCAGTTCCGGGAACCGAAATGCTAAGCTGCTAAACCGCAACCCTTTCTGTGTCCATCTCCAAAGCTTGCCCTTAAAGGTGTTCATGAGCTCATAAGACGACACAACCGGAAAACGTGTAATTCACTGACCCCCAAACCCTAAACCCAAATAAACTCGAAACCCTTAGACCCTTAACCCTAAACCCCTATAACTACGAACCCTAAACCCTCAACCACAACACCCTAGACCCGAGAGGACACCTTACAGATCCCTTATGGATCCCTTTACAGGAACTCCCATAGATCCCTTTAATTTAAGAAACCCCTAGCAACCCCTAAACCCTAGTAACCCTTATATCCCCCTTGAAAAAGCAACCCTATTCAATTTATTAAGGCTCCTTTAAAAAGCAACCCTATTCTAATTATTGTTCAGGCCCATTTAAAAGGAACCCTATTCTAATTATTAAGGCCCCTTTAAACGGAACCCTGTTCTGATTATTAAGGCCCCTTTACAGGGAACCCTTTAAATCCCTAATTCACTGAGCTCAAGGCCAACTTCTCCCCTCTACCCTATACCATAATGGACCCTATACCCTAAACTCTCAACCCGAAAGCCTATAGATCCCTTATGAACCCCTTGATCCCGTTAAGGAACCCCTATAAACCACAATAGACCCTAAACCCTAAGCCCCAGGCCAACTTCTCCTGGTTCGTTTTACTCCACCTCCAGGGACGGGCGGCTGTGGAGGCGGAGACGTCCTGCCCGGGCTTCGGGGTTTAGGGTTTAGAGATACTAGTTACGTTTCATACTTTGTAGAGATATACTCTTCCAAGTTTTATACTTGAGTCTGAGAGATACTAGTTCCATATTTGGTAAATCGTCAGATAGATAGGTAGATGGACAGATACGCAGATAGGTAGACAGCGACTTGCATAGCCAGATAGCTAGATAGTTAGACATGTAGATAGATAGTATGGATAGATTGACAGATAGATAGATAGTCAGTTAACTGCAGATAGTTAGATTGATAGATCGTTTAGTAGCTAGACAAGATATGTAGACCGGTACATATATACATATATACATATATATATATATATATATATATGTTATATGTGTGTATATACTCCTCTAAGTTGACCATACTCGCATTGTATAACAACTATGTTTTGATTGTTGCTTTGCGTACCGCCCGTATGCAGCACATACATGTGTGTGTGTATATACATATATATATATATATATATATATGTGCGATACCATTGCTGTGTATCACAATCTTGACACGTAAGTGTAATTGCATGCAGAATCAGCAGGTATATGTGCAGTATTGCAATGTAGCTTCGTCCATGCTACAATGTGACTGCCACTGTTACCATATGTTACCCCTAGTGCGACTTTGGTTAGTGCAGCAGACACAACTTACAAGCATCGTCGGAATCTTCGCGGTGTCCGTGTTGCTGGTACCGGTTACGATGCCCTACTACTCACTACTAGCAGTTTGCTGTCTATGCGTTGGTATGTGCAGGACCTTAGATTCCCATCGTCATGGACCCGCAAAGGGAGCAATACATTCAGCAAGAAGGGGTTACTTGAGGAGCTCAGTCCTAATGCTCGTTCCATATCAACGAAACCCTGCGATTGGACTGGGCGCTGCCCGTTCTGTCCTACACCCCAACATCCTAACACCCTAAACCTTTTCAAATTAACAACCATCAGGGTCGCCATGCTGGGCTGATCCATACGCCGGCATCAGCCCTGAAGAGAGTCTCGCATTGAGGGCTTTGGATTTAAGGATCAAGCGTTCCTATGCGGACACCTTGACGGGTTTCGGCTGCTTGGGAATTGGGGATTGAGATTTGGGTTTCGCAAGCGCTGCGTCCTTCTCAGCCGGAGCTGGATCTTCTTCCCCTCCCAAACAACCAACTTTGGTGGTGGTGTTTGATCATATTGAAGCGTCGCTGGTATGCTACACCCCAAAACCCTGATCCCAGGCTTAAAGCCAAAGGATCAATCCCTAAACTGGTGCACATCATCATACCCCTAGACTCTAGACCGAGCTTGCAATGATCCATTTTTTGTTCCCCATTCTCTGCGGTAGAGTCGACTTGCAATGATCCAGGCGACACCCCTTGCCTCCAAGCTTGCCGCCGAGCACTTGCTCGCCACTCTCGGCTTCTACCAGGAAGGGCAATAGGGTTTCGAGGCTCAGGCGGTTTAGGGTTTAATGGTTTAGGGGTTTAGGGTTTAGTGTTTAGGGTTTAATGGTTTAGGGTTTAGGGTTTAATGGTTTAGGGTTTAGGGTGTAGGGGTTTATAATGTTGCGGCCCGTTTAATAGGCCCCACCCCCCCCCCCCCGACCAAAAGTTTAGGCTTGAATAGTCTGGTGTCAGTGACCCTTCGGACCGGGGATAGAGGCCAAATGGGGTTTTTAGACTATGGGGGTTTAGTAGGCATTAGGGTTCCCGTAATAGGGTTCATATTAAGGAATCCCGACCCCAAGAATCTTAGACCCGGCTTTGATTAAGTTGGAAGGGAATTGGGGGGGTCCCGGGGTTTGGGGGCTAGCTCAGGGTGTGAGTGGGTTTGATTATTTAAGTTAATTAATTAGGGGAATTGGGGGGTGTCGGGGTTTGGGGGCTTAATGAAGTAGAAGGGTTTGGGGGGTTTTGTAGGTTTCGGTGCT